TTAACCATAAAAAAATATTGAAAGCTAAAACTAACAAGTGCAGCAACATGGGGTTCAAGTTTTTAATGTGCTTTTTGTTTACTAGTGTTGTTATTGCGGCACAGCTAGGTCTGATCAAAAGACGAGTGTTTAAGGTGCTTTTGTCTAAGTTGTTGTCTCCTTGACCAAAAAACAACATTTATGGTGAAACACGACAAGCACTGACTTAGCTGGATGACAAGTAGACGAACACCATCACCACTAGTCATGATTCGGGTCAGCAGTCGTCAAATGACAGATTATTTTGACCTACGCCTAAAATTTTTAGCTGTGTGATGTGGAGACGAGGTGAAGCTTACTTTTAAACCAAACATGCCACAAAATGAATTTTAGTTTTTTTAAATCTATAGAGGAAAAGGGGTTTTCTCTGTACATCTCTTTTCCAGCTGTTGTACTGGACCGAGTTTTACGATCGATGTGTCATTTTAAAGCTAATGGTCTAGTGGTAATATCCTTTTGTCCCTAATCCCATAGCATTTGATTTATTTCTAGAATTTGCTTTCAATGATATGGTGATGCTGACCAGCTTTCTTTATAACGGTTTAATCCGTTAGCATAATTTAACAGCTGATCCTTCAGTTGTTTAACTACAGTCAGATTTTAAACAACAGACAAAAACAATTTATGAAAAAGGATTTTAAAAGGCTGCTTTTATGATTCTTGCAACAAGATAGAGGCAAAACTTAACCGCATATAAACTTATATGCCTAAATACAAGCCTAAACCAAGATATAGGCAGAGTCATAATCAGAATCAGTAACACCTATAAGCAACAATTTTGTGTTTTTTATGGTATGGCAGTATGATATATTTCTTTGTTTACATTATTTAGCAGCAGTGGTGACAAGGGGTTAATGCTGGTAGCTTGTAGCCCTTAACCTCCACAGGGTGGTCCCATTACAACACACGTCCCAGCGAGAGACAGCTATTTAGAATACATTCACTTCTAAGAGTAAAAATTTATACATGTAATTTTTTGAGAGTGTTTTCAAAATACTAATTAAACATGCAAGCTGATAATTTGTGAATTTTAATAAAAATTGGTTAATATTATCAGTTAAATCTGAATAACATCAATTGCATTAATTCATCACGACACTACAGTAAACAACAATTCAATTTGAGACAATAATACAAATACTTTTAAATAAGTTTACAAATAGATTGTTTAAAATTTTAGATCAAGATATTATGAAATGAAAATTAGTATGGTAAAAAAATACATGTGAACACACTTCTTATTTTTAGCGAATTTCCCATATAGGGAATAAGCTATTACCGTAGTACTCATGGTAAGACCTGGACGCGGGACCGATTTTTTTTTTCGTTTTGAGGTCTCTAGAGGCCAAAAACACCATCCGTTGAAATTCATATAGATATATATATATATTTATATAGATAAATATATATATTTATATATTTATATATATATTTATATATATATATATATATATATATATATATATATACAGGGTGATCAACTCAAGTAGGCCACCATTGGGATATCGGAAACGGTAAGAATTAGAGAAAACTTTAAATGGGGGACATTCCTTATTTTTTGTGGCAGTTAAAAAAATGATTTAATTTTTTTGAAATTCAGCCGCCATTTTCCAAAATGGCAGCCAACTTTGAAATTTCTTATGGAATACCCTATATTTTATGGTGTTTTCGGATAGAACAGGCAATTTAAAAACTTTTTTATTCTTGACATTTTTTCGATAAACCCACTCGTTTAGGAGTTACAGCCTATGGAAGAATTACTTCCGGTGTACATTTTACATCATGTAGCTCCTAAACAAGTGGGTTTCTAGCGAAAATGCGAAAAGGAAATAAGTCAAATAAGTTTGAAAATTGCATCCACATTCCAAAAAGACCATAAAATTCCGTAAAACTATTAATTCTATCAATTTCAAAAACGGCGGCCATTTTCCAAAATGGTGGCAAACTTGAAAAGTGGAAAACTGTGTATAGCAAAGAGTAAACAAGTCAAAGAAGTCTTAATATTGCATCCACATTCCTTAAAGACCATAAAATACACAGTTTTCCACTTTTCAAGTTTGCCGCCATTTTGGAAAATGGCCGCCATTTTTGAAATAATAGAATTAATAGTTTTAACGAATTTTATGGTCTTTTTGGAATGTGGATGCAATTTTAAGACTTATTTGACTTATTTACTTTTCGCATTTTCGCTATAAACCCACTTGTTTAGGAGCTACATGATGTAAAATGTACACCGGAAGTAATTCTTCCATAGGCTGTAACTCCTAAACGAGTGGGTTTATCGAAAAAATGTCAAGAATAAAAAAGTTTTTAAATTGCCTGTTCTATCCGAAAACATCATAAAATATAGGGTGTTCCATAAAAGATTTCAAAGTTGGCTGCCATTTTGGAAAATGGCGGCTGAATTTCAAAAAAATGACATCATATTTTTAACTGCCACAAAAAATAAAGGAATGTCCCCCATTTAAAGTTTTCTCTAATTCTTACCGTTTCCGATATCCCAATGGTGGCCTCCTTGAGTTGATCACCCTGTATATGTGTCCGTCAGCACGATAACTCGAGCAAAAAAGATCCGATTTTGATGAAATTTGGTACAAACATGTAAACGTACGTTTATTCGAACGAGTTCGCGATCCAGCATGATCGGACCATGGGAACGGGGGTTTACAGGGGGTTTTATGGGGTAAAAATAGGTTTTTCCCATTTTTGACCCAAAAAACATAAAATTTAGCAATTTTTTTCCAAACCATTTTGTAGAGCTTAAAAAAACAAATAATTTAGTATGTTGAAGCGTTATTATGCGCCTAATGGTTACGGAGAAAATTCCAAAAAATTGTAAATTTAAAATTTCCATGTTATTCTTATGGAGAATAAGTAAACTGTTGTAGTTTGCTTGTTTGTGAACATATTTTGATCAAATTTGGAAAATGTTTTTATTTCTTACTAACTATTCACATTTTACAAAAAAAAACAGTTTTACCCTCCCTGATGCAGCAAACCTAAGTACTTGTTAAACTAATTCTATTTAATTAAATCAAGAATAAATGTTATATTTTTAAGTAGACATTTCAATGTAAATCCAATCAGTCAAATGGAAATTCGCTTAGTCTGCAGGTTTGCTGCGGCGGGGGTATTTAGTTTGAATATATTTAGAGCAAAAAAAAATGCATTCTCATTCTCACTGGAAAAACAATGAGTTACACCTTTCCACACTTGTATCCATTCACATCGACCCCCTATAGCAGTGGAGGGAGGAAGAAGAAAAACACGTGCGACGAGAAACAAAGATTCACTTGATAACGGTAAGAGGAATAGTCAAGTGTAAATTCCAAAGTGATTGTATCCAATAACGAGTGAGAGGCTATTTTGAGACAACGCCGCTATTTCTGACCCGTAATATCGCCGAGTCCCAACAGAGCGGGGTATGACAAACTCCCACACTCTCTGGCTCTCCCACGACCTAACGTCTCTCAGGAGTCAATCCATCTGTTATAGGTCCGTTGTCTTATGACACAAAACTGTGCCAAGGTCAAATATATCCAAGATTGATGTATTATTGAATTGAATTTGAAGTGTGTTTTTTTTTTTTTATAGATCATTCTTTAACAGTAAAAAAAAGAAGTTGACCAATGTTTCTAAAAAATGTTACTACTCAGCAAAAAGTACATAAGTTATAGGCCTTAATATTTAAAATTCATAAATTTTGTCATCAGGTCATAATTTGCTAGTTTAAAATGTCGTCATAATCAACATAAATCAGTGATTTTTTTGGCGCAATAAATAAATCAGCGCACTCTGTTGGCTCCCTTATCCCTTAATCAACTAACTTAAAATTTACTAAATATACTAATTTTACTTAGTATATGGGGAGAAAGTATTGTTTTCGTCAAAATGTTTTAGTTTGAGTAGATATATTTATTTTGGGTCCCCTTGAGCCCAAAAAAGTGGTTTTGAAAGTTGTGTCTGTGTGTGTATGTGTGTCTGTATGTGCACAGAGCTACAGACCACACCTGTAGTCAGATTTTGATGAAATTTGGTATGTAGGTACTAATCTATGGTATCTCCAGACGTTTTTCATTTTTATTTTTTTATTTTAATTGTTAATGGTGATTTTTCCAGAAAAATAACAGAAAAATCTAATTTTCTAAAAATGGCCTGAACAATTTTGATAAAAGTTTAGTATATTATAGTACTTTAAATTCTGAACAAAATGGAAAAACTCCCATTGCTTTAAAAAATATGGTCCAAAAGTTATTGTAACTCATTTTATTTTCCCATAAAATAACAGAAAATCAAGATTTATGTAAATAAACACAGATTTTGAATAAAAATAGTAGGTTATGTTCCTTAATTCTAAACAAAATAGTGCAACATCCCCATTGCTGTAAAAAATACAGTTCAAAAATATTGCAAATTGTGATTATCCCTATAAAATATTTTAGTTTACCCATACCTAACCTATCCGATAAAGCTTGTTGACAAGCTAATGGGAGAAAGTATGTGTCAGATTGCTGATATCGATTATTATTCTAAGACTGAATAACTTATTGGTTTATTATTCTGATAACAACTTTAATATGGGAATGGAGAATGAAATGTCTAGTCAAAGCTACAAGTTAGCCAGTTTTACATTTTCAAATATACCATTTGTATATTCAGACTTGAAAAATCAGAATAATGCGTCAGACGGGAAATCCAGATTTTCCAAAGTCAGACATACGTCAGTGTGCTTTACTCAGAGAGGTGGTGAGCAGCATATAGAAGACATTGATGGTTAACAGATTTTGAATGCCCTTGTTGTATAGAATGTTTAGAATTAAAACTTTGTAGTGTTGTCATTAATGCAATGTCCCCAAACAGTTTTTAGACAGTGATGCAGGTAAGCAACTTTTTAAACAAATTTCAAAAGCACTTGTAATATGGAGTCTGCTGTAAACATGTCTTGTATACAATTTTTTTACCTGTGACTGGAGCCTCGATGTCGATCATAGTTTTCTCGGAGCGTAGAAGTTGTGCGCCATCGTTGATGATTTTGAGGGCCGCTGCTTCGTCTATTCGGCCCTCGAGGATAAAGTGTTGCTTGAGCACATCGGGCCGAGGCTTGCCACTACGGCTGTCGAACACTTCCGATATGGTTAACTTGTGACTTGGCGGAAAAGGGACACCTGCAACAAAAAAACATACTGCTTAGTGTTGGTAGCATATATCAACAGTAAGGAAAAAATTATGAAAATAACAAACCACACAAGAATCACATAATGATGGAAAACAGCAATCACAGGGACAATGTGCTTAAGGTAGGTTTTCCGAGGTGCCTATTTCGGCTGCCGAATAGAGCTGCGGCGGAATTGTTAAGGCACTGATTTTTCCTAGCCGAGTTTGTTCTCTAAAAAAAAAAAACCAATACATGACCCTTGCATGATCAGTTAGTGACCAAAAACGAAAATTATGTATTAAAATTAAAATTCGGCAGCTAGAAAAACCCACCATTACAAGTATTGTTGAATGTTATAACACAGTTATCACCGTGACAAACTGCTTACAAGAATTGCTGAATGTTGGAAAACGCTGTTATCACTTGCACGGTTATCACACACCATCTTAAAGAGGTTTACTAAATGTTGGAAAACTCTTCATCGAGACAAACTGCCAAAGAGAAGTAAGAATCAGAGGATACATTCAATGGTAAACTTAACTGATGTTTAGCACCAGTCCCTGGTGTCTAGAGCAAATTCTATTCGTCGTCCCCTTCCACTCTCCTTTCCCCCTCACCATCACGTACTACAGCGCTCACGTAGTAGGAAGACCCTGTGCACTACAACTGCTGTACAAATATGCTATGTGGCCATCGTGGTTCGGCTTCTTCATTGTTCGATAATAGTATACATTTTTGCCCCAATATACCAGAGCTAAATGCGCACGTTTGTCCCATATGCTTGTATCCGCTGCATTTGAATTCTCTGTGAAACTGCTAACAATAATAACTGAATTATGATACAAATGCCAGTTATTACAGAGACAAACCCTTTTAACAAAACCACTGCAGTGAGTAAGAAGAAAACATTTCAACATGGTCCAAAAAGATACAGTCATACAATCTACTGTAGTAGGAGTGGAAATATCAGCACAAATAATGTGAATGCCAAACATTGGCGGTGACAAGGTGATCTAAACTAAATCTCAGTCAAACATTGAGCCAAATGTGAGCATGTGTGACACATCAGTTTACTTTATACAACCACATGCATGCACGCATTTGGTGCATCTTGGTCAACACATTATTAACGTTAAAATTATTTGTTTTTCGGTAATTTATTGTTGGTTTTGTATCAAAACAGTACGGTAGTTAGAACTTATTACGATTCATGTATTTTTTTATTGAATTTAGCAAAATATTCGCATAAGCCTTTTGCAACTTGAGTTTTAAATTACATCTTATTTCAAAAAGAGATTGTACCAAAAATAGATTGCGATTAGTAAGCACAGTTAAAATGAGGCTGGGAATATCAAATAGCGTGTGAAAAATATCCTAGGGTTTTCTCATTTTTGACCCTCAAAAACAAAAAATTCCCAATTTCTCTTAGCGCCATTTTTAGAGCTTAAAAAACAAATAATGTAGTAGCCTATATTGAGGGTTTTTTTACAATTATTGGTCACAGAAAAAAATCAAAAAATTGTAAATTTAAGATTACCGTGCTATTCTTATCGGGAATAAGTAAACTGTTGTAGTTAACATGTTTACGAATATATTTTTATCAAACTTGGCAAATTAACTTATTTTATACTTAGCTATTGATATTCTTCTAAAACCCCACTTTATTACCCTTCCTGTTGCAGCAAACCTAGGTACTTGTTAAACCTGATGTTATTTAAATAGATTTAATTGAAAACCCAATCGGGAAAATGGAAATTCGCTTAGTCTGCAGGTTTGCTGCGGCGGGGGTGTTGGGAGTGGTAGTGCCTACATTCTCCTTACTTAGACAAACACACATTTAATAAGTTGTAATGAGCGTTTTTTTGGTAAATACAGTCGTCCCAGCTTAGGTCTTGCTATGAGGACCATGCTAATTAATTGCACTCCCTGTTTTGTTATAAAGAGGTAAGAAAAAATCCATAGCAACAAAAGTATGAAGTCAGTTATACAGGTTAAAATTCAACTATGATTCAAATTAAATTGTCATGGAAACAGTTTAAACCAGTTGAAATTTAAAATTGAACATAAGAAGATGTACCTGTACGTGAGTCTAGATTAACATTTTTAAAGGTTATACACACTTAGAGATTAGTTAAGTTGTAGAATTTAAACACTTTGTAAATAATTATGTCCCGAGTAAAAAAGAAAATATACCGACAAGGTCTACTAAGGAAGAATATGACATTACTTCCATGTGCTTAGCTTTAATTGCTTGGATTACTCAAGAACTCAAGGTTAATATTGGTTTGGTAGCCTAAATGTGGCAAGTGGGTGAGAGTCCGTTGGACTTTGTCACTCAAAACTGTTGTTGTACAGGTAGATGTCGCTGAACCATCAAGATACGAAGAGATTACCAGAGCAATACTCTTCACTTCTGCAAACCAACCATTATTTTTAGGCCCTCCTGTAAAGTTTTAATAGAAAGCTCTAAACAAACTAAATTATTTAACTTGATAAATCAAATTAAAAAAGAAAATTTTAAATCTAACTTAATCAGGATTTTTTTTACATTTAGGCCTACACAGCTGAAATACTAAACTGTGAAGTATTACGGGATATAGTTTCAAGTGGTCCATTGTAATTTATTTTATGATGAGTAGGTTTTTTTTAACTAAAAACCAAATTGTTATTGGTTTGATTTATCATCCACATTTTTGATACACAGATAAAAAAAAACACGACAAAACTTTAAAATTCCGTGATATGAATGATTATTTCAAGTAACAGAGTACTCCTCAGTCACCCCATAATTTGGCCCGAATTCCAAATTTGTCAGGGTACCTTAGGAGGCTTTTAGACAGAAAACCATTAAAGATCGGGTAGGCAATTTATCAATTCTTTGGATTCCGCTTCAAAATCTGTGGTAGCCAGGTGCTGTTGATCAGTGGGGTGTTTGTTGTTGCATTGACTAGTGCCAGAATATCCTCGCTGGAGTGGCGCCCGGCTTGAGGAAGGCCCAGTGTCGGCAAACATTCTCTGATAACACTGAATTTCAGAGCCTAGAATGACTCAGTCCCTCAGATGGTAGAGGTTTCTGTATACAGAGGGCCACTGAGCGCTGCAGTGGTGGGTGTGTAGGCTGTCTTGGGTTCTGCCCAGATTGTCTGCACATCGCTTCTACTGTTTGATCCCTCTAGGGTGCGGATATAAAAACCTATGAAATACTCCCTCAAAACTCCCTGATACGGTAGGAATGATAGGCTCCCAAAGTTTAGAGTAGATCTGCGACAACGTCTCTTCTAGTGCCCCTTGTTGACATCTGACCTGTTCCATTAACTGCGACTCTACGGTTGGATCGTGATAAGCAGGTACCGTACATGGATTACCCTCAACAATTCAAACAAAAGAGAAACAAAGAGGAATATCAGAAGAAAAAGAAGATACTGAATCAAAAAGCCATTTTAGATGATGGTCAAAAGTGAAAACAGCAAAGGCAAGTTTAAACAATCAAGGCAATGTACATTGAAAATCACTGGATTGAAATTGAAGACAAACTACGTAGAACACCCAAGTTTGAAGAAGACCCTGAACCCTTGTATCTAAACAAAAGGTAATTTTCTCAATAAAAAAATATTAGATAAGTTTTGTTAAATAGAAGATAAGTTAGTCAATAAACTTAATTTTTTTTATTAGTCTGAAAATATCAATCTCTCGCCTACTGCCAAGCTTAAAATATACCTTCCGTTAACAAAGGTTGAGTTTACCGCTAACAATTTATATATTTTGTTACAAGTTATTTATTGTACATCGTTTAGGTGCAAGTGTCATAAGATGATTACATTACATGACCTCAAGCTATATTACATTTAGTAACAACGTAGTCTGCTGTAGTTTAAGCATAGATAACAAGCTAGACATGTACAGAAATAATAGCTACAGGAAGGAAAAAGAGAATATGCACAACTAGCAAGCTTAAATATAAGCACCCACAGGCTTGCCCTGGTTCCCCTTCTACATTCTTCCCACAGCTTTTTTTTTATATTAACGTGAATTTTGTGTCCTCGAGCTTTTTTTATCACTTGTAATTTCAATCACACCATGTTCTTATGTATCTCTAGGTTACTTCAAGATATTTATGATCTCCATTCAGATTTTGTTGATTATAAACATTTGTACCTTACATAAAACTTGTTCTTGTGGCTTGACTCTCTGCTCAAGCGTTTACATACATAGTTTAGGAAAATGCTAATCATTAGACAATTTGTTTGTTTAGTTGTGGTTGTTCTAATGTTACATCTCTAAATTGCTAACAAAGGCTGATTTTATGACTCAAAAACACTTTTATTTGGGATTTGAAATTCTCTATCTAGTCTTTGCATATTTAAATTTCAATTTTACTTCATGCGGCCACACAGGTGATTGTTACAAATCAGGACTGAATCGGGTTTAATAATTTTTGTATCTATTCCATAATGGCAATCAATGGTTATTAAAAATGTTAACAACTATCATTTGGTGATTCTAATTTTCATAGCAGCTTAACAAGTTATCATATTTTTAGGTATAAAGAATCGTTAACAAATTTTGAGCAAAGCTAAATTTAAACACTTGAAGAAAAACAACGTAAACAGATCTCGACAGAGTTCGATGCACTGAGGTTAGGTGGTGCTGTATTCAGGCGAACTAATGCAATACAGGAGGGTGGAATGATCAAATCAGAGGCAATGTAGTCGATGTAGTTATCTCGGGCGAAGCTATATTTCCCAGCAGACGCGACTGTCTCCCGAGACTGGTTCACATAGACAACTCACCAGCAAGAAGTGGGTCATAAAAAGATTTTGTATGCATAATAGTTCCCTTACTTGCATATTGGAACATGTTGACATTCATCCATTGCTCTCTAATGTAATACCGGTAACTAAAACCTTGTCGAAATACAAATGTAAATGTACTTTTCTCAGGTGTTTTGAAAGAGCAAGTAGCCAATGAAATTTATTGCACTTTAAAAGACAATATCTGGTCTATTGTAAA